CTGCAGGGCTTGTATGTTTTTGTTTTCAAGATGATTTTGTTGAAATACTCTCTGACAGGATTGCAAAAATTCTTGCAGTTTGTTGCGTGTTCAAACTGATTACATAGACTTGTATCAAATCCACTGGCCTGATCGGTTTGTACATTCACCTGACCTTTTCTGTATAGATACTATGTGGCAAATGGGTAACCATTAGAACAAATTCTGTTTCCAGAATAATAAGCTGACGTACTAAAAATGTGTAACTGTCCTTTGCAAATCTAACTGAAGTAATCCCACGTATTGTCCCCTGCAGAAAATTATGTTACAAAACAAAAAAAAAAAAAAGTTTGTTTTCGTGGATGATGTCCACTGGGATTTCTTGCAGTTATGTTCCAATGTTTGGAGAAACTGACTATGATCCTGGCCGTTATATTTCACATATAAGTTTTGATGAACAACTTGATGCTTTAGGCAGAGCTGTTGATGCTGGTAAGGTTAGTAAAGATGACCTAAAAGTTCAGCTTGTATTCAACTTATTGCTTTAGGGTGATATATTCCTGTTACAGAATGTTGACTGTTATTGTAGATCAGATACATCGGACTAAGCAATGAGACTCCGTATGGAGTCATGAAGTTTCTGGAAATTGCCCAAAAGGAACCTCACTATCCAAGGATAGTATCTTTGCAGGTGTTGTATGGGTAGCTTCTTTTTGACAATTGAGTAATATGAGTTTGTTTTGTTGTCTATGCTTGCATGTGTTTGCTTGTCTCTGTATTTTAGTGCACCCTATGCTTGTGGTATGATTCACCTCCCTACTTTCAGAACTTGTGCAACTTGCTTCGGCGGGGCTTTGTTTTCAAGATGGCTTCTTTAGATAATTGAGTCATTTGAGTTTGTTTTGCTGTCTATTCTTGCATGTGCGTTCATCTCTGTACTTTAGTTGACCCTATGTATGTGAAGCTAATATATGATTCACTTCCCTATTTTCAGAATGCGTACAACTTGCTTTGCCGGAACTTTGATTTTGGGATGGCTGAATGCTGTCACCATGAGAGGTACCCCTTAGTGCTGAATGTGTGTATGATCTGCACAACTGAGTTAAGCCTCACTTATACTGGGAATACTGCTTCCATCCACTAGGAAGCTCCAAAAATTATTGAGAAAGTGATTGCTCGCTAATATCCTTTGAAGTATGTATTTCAATATTCAGTTAATTGGGTTATATACTGTACTGTCAACATGTTTAACTGCCTTCTGCTACGAGTTCATTACATTTGTGTTGTGATAAATATGTATGTCACTCTTCATTCTTGGTTTAGCCACACATCAATGGTTGTTTCTTTTTTGTCTAAATTCCGAACCTGAAGCCTCTTGTCTTTCAAGCCGCATTTATTTGCTTCAGTTTACCTCTTTCAGTTAGTGTATCTTCTGGCAAGTTATCATTCGTCATACTTATACCTTTTGACCATCTTGTTTCCATGAACTGCACTTATTCATGCTGTACTTGACTTTTCCATGGTCTTAATTTTTGTCTGTTTTATTCAGAATTACTGGCTTTGTGCATCTTCTTGAGGTTTTGGGTACATGGCAGTTATAGAGTTTTTATGAATTTTTAAGTGGAATGAGAACATAACCTGTAAAAGAGTTTATACTTCAAATATATGAAAGGAGTTAAGTTTCTTGGCTTAAATGTGATGGTTTTTGTGAAAACATCTTCTTTGAAGTTTTCATCAGATATGCACTGCACCAACCAGAAATAGAACAGAGGGAACTACTCTTATCTAGTTTTCTGTTGGCCTTCTTATTCTATATTCCGGTGGAAGAACTTTCCTTCATGCTTATACATGCATATGATCGTCTAATAAATTATTCTGATGCTGGCATTTTCCTTCACTGACCACCCCCCCCCCCAACAATTTTATATTTAGGGTTTGTCTGTTAGCATACAGTCCTTTAGCCATGGGCATTCTCTCCGGCAAGTATTTCTCACTTGACAAGGGTCCGCCAGATGCTCGTTTTAATCTTTTCAGAGGTCACACTGGTTTCTTCTATCAAATCTTGGTCAAGTTGGTTTTATTTATTTATTTATTTTATTGAAACAGTTGACTCTTCCTTTTGTCAGGAAGATATGCTGAAGGAGAGTCGAGATACAACCTGTCAAAGACCAGTATAAAGGCAGCCACTGAAGTAAGCCAATTATTTTCATAGGAGGACAAGCAAGCTGGTTTTGTTAGATCTTTGGTTGATTGTAAAGGAAATAGGAAATAACTCATGCCTAGATATTTTCCTGGCATTGCTAAATTCATTTTCTTTCTGCAGCTTGATTCATTGCTTGATATTAATTGGCAGTTTTATCATGCTTGCAACTGTTTTTATTGAACATTCTGGAGGATTCTGTGGCCAAACAAGTTATAATGTTATCAACTGCTCTTTTAAACATATAGGGTGATTGTGCATAGAAGCACATTTTCTTGTCTACTTATCAAGATTTTACATTATTGTGCAGTCATATCTTGAAATTGCAGAAGAATACAACATCCACCCGGTGTCTCTTGCAATTGGTATGGCATGTCTCTTTAAGTGCATTCCACATGCTCTCTCTCTCTCTCTCTCTCTCTCTCTCTCTCTCTTTTAATTTCTATTCACCCTTTCTAACCAGATCAACTGACTGATATATGGAACTTGACTGAAATTGTTTTCTTTGAACTCTCAAAAAGAATCCTTAACATTGAAAACCACCAATAGTTGATTTTGCTTTTTATATTATTTTCTTTTGTTTTTGTGGTCCAGAACCTTTAGTCCTTCGAAAGGTGCAAATAAAGATGCTTTTCCCTTGAGAATATATAAAAAAGAAAAAGTCAACAACCAGTTATATTCAACCATCAGGCCTTTTGCAGTGATACTGTATATTGTGTTTGCAAGCTTATTTTGGAGGTATTTCATATAAAGAAGATATACATTTTAAAAGTGCTAGTTGCTGGATGAGTTGTTGTTATGCTAATAGTTGGTGTCTTGGAGTCTCTGAACATAATGACACTGAAGAAAATTCCGAGTTATAAACTTCCCCTATGAGTTGTTTATTCGTGTAATGAGTAGGAGATTTTCTGATTATCTGCACTTGGCTTCATTCAAAGTGAGGTAGCTGCTGCTGATGGTTTGGCTCAATTGTTGGTGGTTCTAAAAAAAATTATCATGCTCATACTATAGTATTCTACATAAGATAATGCTTCTTTATTCGTCAAAAGATATCCTCAGCTTCGTAATCGTGAAGTTTTCTCTGTGCAGCCTTTGTTCTTCGACACCCTCTTGTTGCAAGTGCCATTTTTGGAGCTACAACAGTGTGGCAAATCCAAGAGGTTCTCAATGCCTGCAGTGTCAATCTGAGCGATGACATTATTGCAGATGTTAACAAGGTGCATTCAAGGTTCCCAAATCCCTGCCCCTGATAAGTGCCTTTTGTTTTGCAGTATAATCATTGGAAGGTTAAAGATATTGGTGTCTGTTTGTACATTAGGGAGAAAATGGTCTGGCTTAGAGATTGCTTAGCATGGTAATTTGAATCTTGAAAATCTGGTTGGGATTTTCTGTCACCGTTCAATGCATTTTTCAAGTTTTGGAATTTCATGGAAATTGGCGAGGAGCTAATTACATGGACTTAGCGTTGGGGGAAACTTTTGGCTCCTTACAAGTCCTGTGGTGTGCTGCGGAAGAGTCAAAATATGATTCAAGGGTCTTTCAGGGACCAAAGAGATGCCTAGAAAGTGAATCATACAATTTTAGATGGTTTAGTAATTATACTCACAATTTTCTCATTTATTTAAATAAATATAAGGGGATCTCATTCTACCCGGTCCTCAATTTGATTGTTTTGTTTGGCAGATGGGCTCCTCTCTGTCTTTCATTTTATGTCATCATCCATTTTATTATGGTAGGTGGCTTTTGCCTTTCGGTCAACATTTTTTAAAAAAGTTTCGTAGGACTTTCTCAGTTTGAGAGTTCTCCCAAGAAGTAATAAATAATATTAATATATATATATATATTTTTTTTGCTTCGACATAAATACCCCATGGCCAATACACTAAAAAAAATGGGATAATTGCAGAAATCTCCCCTGAGATTTTTAATGGTTGCACTCACCTCTCTTGAAGTTTCGAAAATAGCACTAACCTCCCCTAAACTTAACATTTTAATAGCAAATTCACTCCATGTCAAAAAAAGTCTTTTGAGAAGTGTTGTTCCATTTGTACCCTTTTGCTTCTTGTGTGGTTTTATTAGTAAAAGAATGAAAAATATTAAAAGCTGGAAACAATTAGTGAAACTCAAGAGGATATAAATGTAAAGAAAATAAATGGAACAACAACAACTGGAAGAAGTAATGAATATATGTTCGAAAATTTGAGATTTAAAACATATAAAGTATACAACCAACTCAAAAATTTTTCATTACCTAGTATACATGGAAACTTTTCAAAAACCAATAATAGTGTATTTTTTTATTTGTTTGCTAGTTAAAAGTGAAGTAGTAGTGCAAAAAGAATGGTTTCATCAATCCACGAAGGAAAATCATGGAATTTACTAAACTGGAAAAGTCAAAACAACTAAATGCCACAGTCAACACACTACTTATCATCAATCTATAATTATTTTGATGACTATTGCTATTGTACCTTTAATTAGTTGTTACAAGCTTGTTTAATTATTAATCTTGTTTAATTAGTTGTTATGAACTTGTTTATTGTTCTAATTTTTTGTTTCATATTTGTTTACAACAACCTTAAACTCTTAGGTTATAGAAGTAAATTCATCCCATGTTATGTTAGTTATTGGCTCCAAATTCATGTTAGGAGATGTCAGTGCTATTTTCAAAACCTTAGGTAAGGTGAGTGCAATTGTTAGAAATTTCAGGAGAGGTTTCTACAATTATCCCAAAAAAAAAAGGAAAAATGAACGAAGTGCCAGCTGCCTCGTTGTTTTTCGAGGAGAAATTTAATTACTACTATTTCTGCTTAGTAGCGTGGTAAAACCCACTCTGTCCCTCTTTCCCTCTCAAGTCTGAAAAAAGCCAAAGCTCTCAGTACAATCACTTTTACAGGGGGGACGACGAAATCAAATGAACCACAATCCCTCGGTCGATCCCAGATTCCGGCGTCACTCTTTCTGCTTCGCCGGTGGGCCTGGATCCGTCTTCAAAGAGTTTTAACTGTCCGTTGTTATATTTATTTGTTCCTGCCCACCAAGTCCTTTTCTGTGATCTGCTTCTTCAGTTGGAACTTAAAAATCCTTGATTGAGGAGTGGGCAGGGTTGGTTAGGTTGGTTAGATTCCTTTCTTTTTTTCTTTTTTTTTTTCCTTTTTCATTGATGGGCTCGAAGCCGTGGCTGTATCCGGCTCCGACCTATCGCCCTTTAGAGACCTTTTGGGCCACCGACGACGATGCGCCCGGCCCACGCTGCGGCCACACTCTCACTGTCGTTGCTGCTACCAAAACTCACGGTCCTCGCCTTATCCTCTTCGGTGGCGCCACTGCTATCGAGGGCGGTAATGGTGGCGCTCCCGGCATCCGTAAGTCTTTCCGCTACATATATTTTTCTTTTTCCCGGCATCCGTAAGACAAAAGTTCTTATCTTGTTTGGTTGAATTTTTGTGTCTAATCTGATATCTCAGGGTTAGCTGGGGTGACGAATTCTATCCATTCCTATGATGTTCTTACTAGAAAATGGACCAGGTATGTCTTCTCTTTAATTCAACTGAAGCTTGTATTTTTCTGTTTCTTTTCTTTATGGTTGATCACCTTACTATGCGTTTATCTTATCCATATTCACTTCTGCTCAGACTCCGGCCAGCCGGGGAGCCACCTTCTCCCAGGGCCGCGCACGCTGCTGCCGCCGTCGGTACTATGGTTGTGTTTCAGGTGATTAGAGACAGAATGCATAATTTTGACTGAATTTCTGGTTCTTTTTTTATTTTTCCTCTCAAAATTAGGTATAAATTTGATGCTGGGTTTCTTAGGGTGGAATAGGTCCTGCTGGGCATTCAACGGATGATCTCTATGTGCTTGACTTGACAAATGATAAATTCAAGTGGCACCGGTCTGCTTCTGGAAACTGCTTGGGCATTTTTTACTTGTTCCTTTATGTTCTTTTGTTCTTTTCTGAATGCTGAATTTGACCTGGCAAACTTGTTTTCAAGTGTAGAGTTGTAGTTCAAGGACAAGGTCCTGGTCCAAGGTATGGACATGTGATGGACTTGGTTGCTCAAAGATACCTTGTCACTGTTACTGGCAATGATGGTGAGAATGGTTTCCAGTTTCAGACTTTTGTTAGGTTAATCTTCCTCGCTTGCTAAGTGGAAGATATCTTCAACTGAATTGTCAATAAAGAACCACAACATAGTTCTAGGGGAATAAGAGATTGCAAGTTGGAATGTGGTGCACAAATACATTCTATTCAGTGATAAGTGATTGGAAATTGTTTTTTGGTCACATAATGCTTAAATGGAATCTTTTTTTTTTTTTCCAATTCCTCCCACCTTTTCCACCCTCAATTGGCAGGCATAGGATTTGAACCCTGAACTTGGTAGTGGGGAGGACTTTAAGATCCCTCCCCTGGCTAGTGGGCATAAATGAATCTTTTGAAATTAAGCAGCATATGAATCCAAATTGGCACACATAAGCTGGACCCATAATTTGGTATTGCCAAACAATACAAGTTACCTTGAGTCATTCCTTTTTATCATGTTTTCCCAATTCTTTACAGAAGTGTCATTTCTAAGATGTGCTTGAACTCTTGCTAGACATTTCTCTACACTTTACGCATTTATAGAAAATGGGAACGTGTCACCTGAATTGTCTACTTTCCAGGTTATACTTGACAAGTCAGCTTTATCAGTGTTTTCTGTAAGTTTTCCATTGCATCATCTTATCAGAAGTTTAATTCTCTGCAGGAAAAAGAGTGTTGTCAGATGCTTGGGCATTGGATACTGCTCAAAAGCCATATGTATGGCAGAGACTTAATCCAGAAGGGGACAGACCATCTGCTAGAATGTAAGGTTACAACTTTCAATCTCAATTATATCGGTGCCATTTCTGATCCATAAGAGGGGCTTCCTTGTTGGTCCAACTATGCACTGTCTAAAGTTAATTTTAGGTGGAAACCTTCTATTTTATGGAGGTGTCCATAAATGTTGTTTCACAGTATTGTAAATAATTAATCGTCCTTGTGTCTTTCTGCATCAGTTCTCTTTCTTTCTTTTATAGACGGTGGGACTCGTTCTTATTAGCTAAAAAAAGTCAATCTTGGCTTCTTCAAAAGTTAAGCATTTTGTTGACTTCCTAGCCCCCCTTCACTTATAGTACTTTATAGTTTGAATCAATCTGGTTTTTAAATGGAAATCTTGAGGTTTTAAATGCTTTTAAAACTTAAAAACAAGATTTAGCTTTTAGAAGATTACAGGTGACTTTTTTCAAGTTAAAAAGGTAAAAGCAAATGAGAATAGACTGATAATCTCCTTGTTGAGTCTTATTGTATGATAACAATATGTACCATATTTATGTTGTAAGTATTCGAGTTAGTCTTTTAACTGGAAATCATGATATATGCTAGTGGTTGTCCAGTGTTATATTTAAGTTATTGTTACACATGCAGTTTACATTTGTTTCTCTTATATCTTTATCAATGATCAGTGCCAATAGGTTTTCCTTTCCTTTGTGTGCCATTACATCCTCTTTTTCTCATTAATTCTTTTTATGCAAGCTTGTTATCCTGAATACTTTTACATCAATATATGATATAGAAGAATTTGGACAGCTGCTTATGTTTGACAGCGTCGTTCATCCTGTTGTTATTTTGGAACTTTCTTATGCTTAATTTTTTTTTCCTCGAGTATGAGTACATGTCCATTAGATATTATACATAGATACATTGGTTTTGTACATATATATCTATGTATATGAAGTTTGTGGTTGGATAATAGGTATGCGACAGCTAGTGCCCGCTCAGATGGCATGTTTTTGCTTTGTGGTGGAAGAGACTCTTCTGGCACGGTAAGGTCATAATATAGGGAAACATATTGTTTAATAGAGTTTCATGCTTTATGTTAATCGGATGTTATTTTAAGGTGGAGATAGAAAGAGGGTGTTCTCTAATCAAGTAAGAGTGAGGTGCAGAATAATCTTGCTGGCCTGTTTTTTGCATTTAATATTTTGTCACCTTTGTATTACTTTTTTCTGTTTGACATTAGCAGGCACCAAGCGTCCTTTCAATCTGACTTGTTTTTCCATGACTAGTGTAGTGGGGTTTAGCACCTGTCTTTAGCTTGTATAGATGCTCTAGTTTAGTGGACAACTGTTGTTTGACTCCATTTTGAATGCGTTTCTTCTGCAGCCGCTGGGAGATGCTTACGGATTGCTTATGCATAGAAATGGCTTATGGGAATGGACTCTTGCACCTGGAGTGTCACCTTCTTCAAGGTATCAACATGCTGCGGTAAGTGACAGGGAGATAAACACATCAGGAGACATTTTGGTCAAATGATTGTATCAATCTCTGCGCCTGTATGTGTCAATCTCTATTCTGTTTCTCTCTCTCTCAAAGGTAAAGGGGAAGCGGGAGGACAAGAAATTACTTAAAGAGAAGAGAGAGATGTTTTGTTAGAAATTGATGTATTATAAATTTCCTTTGTCAATCAAAACTTTTGCCTCCCACAAGAACCTCAAAACTTTTTATGCGATTCCAAAGTTCATGTGCATGTGAAATTTGCCCCTTTCAAAGTTAATTTTCTGGGCCTGCCTATGGCTATGGGAAACAAGGAGGTGAACTGATGGGGATTGCTTAGATGTTTAGGGATGTTACGAAGCGATTTCACCTTTTGTTTGAAAATGGTACTCCATGTTGAGATTCCTAATCATTTTAGGTCTTGCTTGATTTTCATCGGCAGTCTAGTGCTGCTTCACTTCCTTTCTACTCTTTTGAATATACTTAAAAACATTTCTTGTCAGGTTTTTGTTGGTGCTAGATTGCATGTTACGGGAGGGGTTCTTAGAGGTGGACGAGCAGTTGAAGGTGAAGCTGCCGTTGCAGGTTTGTAAGAAGCCTTACTTTCTATTTTGTTCTTTTGCATAGTAAATATGATAAGCTCTTTTCAGGTAAACTAATTTTCTCAGCATTGGTTATATTTATAGTGTTGGACACTGCTGCTGGAGTTTGGCTGGATAGGAACGGGCTAGTGACTTCTTCACGGGGTAGCAAGGGACACACGGAGAATGATACTTCACTGGAGCTGATGCGTCGCTGTCGCCATGCAGCTGCATCTGTTGGTGTTCGAGTATATACTCATGGTGGTCTAAAAGGAGGTAAAGATAATGAGCAGTTCCATGAATTTCTCTTCGTTTTGAAGGGTCACTCCCATGCATTTATGTGGAGATATGTTTCCCTTTCTTATTTTCCAGTTGAGGATGAGAGTAGAATCTGCAACTACCTTTAATATCAAAAAAATTTGTTAGAAATTCTAGACATATTTTTATTACTGGATGTATGTAATGAAATATGACCTCCACTAGCTGATGAGAGCTCTCTGGAATGAGAATAAGGCTGAAAAATGATGAATGTCGGTTGTATTCTTTAGTAACACCTTGCACTTATTGGATTTTATTTTTGCTTTTAATCTATCATAAGTTGTTATCATTTATCGCGATCTGTTCTCCTTAATCTGCAGTTGACTGGAAAAGAAACGATCATTTGTTGTGTCTTGTATCCTGGTCTAAAGTATCAGCCCTTATTTCTTTCAATGGCTGTCTTTCTTTGGGTGGTTGGCCTTTTCATTGGCTTTATGTGCCTCCTATCTAATCCCTGAAAACTTCTTTGAGCTACTGGGCTGTTGACATTAGTTAAGTTGATGTTACTTTATTTGCTATTCTTGTTCATCTTTTTTCCTTGTCTTATTAAGATTGTTTGATGAGGTTTGTCCTGTTTACTTTTCTTGGTGCAGATGTCCTGTTAGATGATTTTCTGGTTGCAGAAAATTCTCCATTACAGTCTGACATGAATTCCCCTGTTAATACTCCTGAGAAGACAAGCCCAAGGTCAATCCAGTCTACTTCACCTTCACATACTCCTGCAGCAGCTATGGATGGAGAGCCTGAGGCCCTTTCATCTGGCAGTTTGAGGTTTCCTTCTGTGGCTTATCACTCATTTCATTTACTGTGAAAGTAAACTAAGAAAACTCCAATAATTTTTAAGGCTCTTCATTTTGTATAGCATGGACAGAAATTCAATGGAAAAATTGGCAGAAGCTTCTGCTGCTGAAGCAGAGGTTGCAAATGCTGTCTGGCAAGCTGTGCAGGCAGCATCATCCACCCCTGAAGAAACATCTATCTCAGGTGACAACCCACAAGATGCAGATAATACTTCAGAGGGTAGTGACAGCGAAGCTGATGTTCGCCTCCACCCTAGAGCTGTAAGTTTCCTGTAGTTGACTATGTCCTTTTCCATTCTCTTTGCGGCTGCAACATCAAGCTGTTTTTTCTTTCTCAGGTTGTAGTGGCAAAAGAGACTGTTGGAAGCCTGGGGGGGATGGTAAGACAGTTGTCATTGGATCAATTTGAAAATGAGAGTAGGCGCATGGTGACAACACATAATGATTTGTCACATCCAACGAAAAAGTTCACCAGGCAGAAGTCTCCTCAGGGCTTGCATAAGAAGGTGAGAGCTGCAAAATTTTCATACACAAGTTTGTTGACAAAGAAGTGGACTTATTGGGCTTACTGCTATTTTTTTGCTTGTTGTCCTCTGTTTGGCTGCAGATCATATCAACACTGCTTCGGGCTCGGAACTGGAAAGCTCCTGTGAACAGAAAGTTCTTTCTGGATTCGTATGAAGTTGGTGAGCTTTGTTATGCTGCTGAGCAGATCTTCATGCATGAGCCAACAGTTCTCCAACTGAAAGCCCCAGTAAAAGTGTTCGGTGATCTTCACGGACAGTTTGGTGATCTAATGCGGCTTTTTGATGAATATGGATTTCCTTCCACTGCAGGAGACATAACGTAAGCTAAAAATAATACTTTTTAGCAAAAGTAATCTTTTTTGTGAAGCCTAACGGATATATAAATTCACTTCAATCTTTAATGAAGCTTTGACTGCTTCTCTTTCAGTTATATTGATTATCTTTTCCTGGGAGATTATGTTGATCGAGGGCAGCACAGCCTGGAGACCATCACGTTGCTCTTGGCACTGAAGGCAAGTTTTAATATCAAGTAATCCCTTTTAATTGTAGCTGCTGTTGCCTCCTAAGATGAGCTGCTTATCTGCTACTGGCCTACAGATTGAATATCCTGAGAATGTTCACTTGATTCGTGGGAATCATGAGGCTGCTGACATTAATGCGCTTTTTGGTTTTCGCATTGAATGCATTGAGAGGATGGTAATTAAGTGTGATAAAGAGTTTTCTTTTCTTGTTGGAGTTTTTTCCATGTTTTTGTGAAACAAAAAATGATTGTTTCAGAAACTCAGCTTCCAAATGCAGCCTCTTTTTAATTTTTGATTTTTTTGGGACATTCATTGGTGGTTTTCTACAGGGAGAGAATGATGGGATATGGGCCTGGACCCGTTTCAATCAACTTTTTAACTATCTTCCACTGGCTGCATTGATTGAGAAGAAAATTATCTGCATGCATGGTGGTATAGGGAGGTCAATAAATTCAGTAGAACAGATCGAGAAAATAGAAAGGCCCATAACAATGGATGCTGGATCTATAATCCTAATGGATTTGCTATGGTATGTTATTGTCTATTGTTAGAATTTAGTTTGCATTTGAATGCTTCCTTACAGTGTCTGTACAGGTCTGATCCAACGGAGAATGATAGCGTTGAAGGATTGAGACCAAATGCAAGAGGGCCTGGTCTTGTGACCTTTGGGGTATGCATATTCTAGATCTTTATGTATGAATAATTTCCTTTTAAATTTGTTCACAGATAGCCATACATTGCCTGACTTTCTAGCTTCCTTCTTTTGTTGCTACTCCTAGTACGGTAATCAGTGCTTAGTTTAGCTCATTTCGGGTGATCTTGAAAATTTTCAAGAATTTGGGTTTTGATGTCTGTTACACCCTGAACTGCTATCTCAAACCTGTTGTTATGGTTGTAATTGGAAGTTTCAGGATGTGGTGGTGTTCCCAGCATTTATTTGAAGTGATTGTCATTCAGGATACGAACAAAATTTGGCATATAACTTTTGCCAAAATACGCACTGAAGCAAACATTTTTTTTCCCCAAATAAAAGCACTGTGGTCCTAGGCTCTTAGGAGTATTTCATTTAGTTAACATCGTAGCTTTGGGTAACATACTGGATGTCCATATGTGGAGTTGGTTCTATCTACTAACTTTGTTCAAAATCTTTCCCTTCATCATGATCTTTAACATATTTGTGTGACCAACGCACTTATGATGACTTGCAGCCTGATCGTGTTACAGACTTCTGTAAGAAGAACAAACTACAGCTCATCATAAGAGCTCATGAATGCGTGATGGACGGATTTGAACGTTTTGCTCAGGGTCAATTGATCACCCTTTTCTCGGCCACTAACTACTGTGGTATAAGTTTAGAGTCCATTGTTCTTTCTCTTTGCATTTCTTTTCTGTTGCTAGACCTTGCTGTCTAATTCATAAAATGCACTTAGGAACGGCCAACAATGCTGGGGCAATTTTGGTGGTTGGCAGGGGGTTGGTTATTGTTCCTAAGTTGATTCATCCCTTGCCACCCCCACTTCAATCTCCTGAGACATCTCCAGAACGCATGACAGAGGAAAATTGGATGCAGGTAATATTTAAACTATGCTTTTCACATTTCGTTTATATAGCTTTAAGTCAAAACCTGAAATATTGGATATTTGGAATTTATAGATAAAATGCACTCTCTCTCTCACTTTTTTTTTTCTTTTGCCGGCTTTCTATAGGAGCTTAACATTCAAAGGCCGCCAACGCCTACCAGAGGTCGTCCGCAGCCTGATCTTGACAGAAATTCGCTTGCCTACATCTGATTCCTTTTTGATGAGATTTATACTGCATGATTTTGAGGCCAGAATCACAAGTCCTTTGGATTTCACAATCATCATTTTTCAGAATGCAGAGCAGCCATAGATTGACATGTTCCGTTGGCAGCATGTTGTATTTAACAAATGCAAGTGTGAAGTATATAGGCTGAGATTGTTGTGAGAACAGGCGATTACCGCTCGTTCTCCGTAGGAAGGTTTTGTAACATACAGCTGCGCTGGAGTGAAGGGAAATCAGGGAAGTGGGTATATCCTGATATATGAAAACAACTAAAACAAGGGGAGAGAGTCTCCCAGGGAGTTGTGTGTACTGTAATATAGGAAGAAAGTGATTTTGTAGCTATCATATAGTTTTTAGCGTTTAGCGATGAGCTTGAAATACATGTTACACGTGTAATAATAATAATAAGTCATAATTATTTTTGTAAAAATATATTTAATGAAAAATAATGTTTTGGCGTGGTGATCTGCTCTGCTTTAGAGAGACTAGAATCTCCATTCGGGATGTGCAATATTTGCATCAGCTGAGGCTCAGCCAGGGGTTGTGGTCAAGGTACAAAAAAAAAATATAGAAGAGAAAGGGGTGAATATTTTGAGCATGCTGTTCTTCGCTTAATTCCACAATCGCATTATCGTTCTCTCGTTGTTTGGTTAAACGCTGGCTTGGAGGTGAACGGCAACCTAGAGTTGCGACGTTGCACAATGAGCCTAAAATAATTAACTCACTCAATCCAATCCCATGGTCTGTTGGAATTGTAAGAAGAATTGGCATCCAAGTTAGGGCTGCAAACGAGTCAAATCTTGACTTAATTTTATTGAGTTCGAATTCGATGAGCTGATAATTTCAAACTCGAGCTCGAGATCGAAAAAAAATAAAAAATAAGAATTTTATTTTTTGAAAAATAAATCAAATAAAAAAAAAATAATACCTAATCCAAGTAACCATTGCTCAACAATAATCAAAACCAAAGCATAGAAAATATCAATAGATTTTCGCAACTACAAACACTCGAGTTTTCAAGCATGCAAATGGACTACTGAACAGGGTATGCGGAAGCATCATATAGCTAATTCAAGATTCAATCCAGGGCTTAAAATTGAAAAGTCGTCAAAGTAAGTACTAGTAAAAGAAAACTCCTCAGTTAGATTGGAGGAAAAATACGGGAGTGGGGGGAAACGACGGCATCCTGGACGTAAGCATTAGCAGCAGCAGTAGAAGAATTATGAGGCGGCGGCAGCCAGCGTATCTCGCTCATATTGGGCGTTTCAACAAAAGCCATGCTAAACTCTCCTACCTTTTGAACCTGTCCTCGCTTGCCAGCCCTCAGCACAAGGTTGTTGTTCCGGTTGTACGAGAATATCCCATTACGCAAACTGAGAATGTCACCGCCCTCAAATGCATCGCACTCCTCCCCCCACAGCTCAAAGTGCACTGCCGCAGTCTCGTCGGCTACCAGGGCCAAGCATGTCTTCTTTTGCCCTTCCACCGTCGCCTTCCCTTTCTCCAACAAGATGAACCTGGCGTTTATATTGTTCTCCGCCGCTGGTACTATGTCTTTCAGAGATTGCATTCTCGATTCTGGAGATGAAAGAAGTTACTCGCTTGACAATTTATAAATATGCCACCAATTCTTGTGTTGTGACCCAAAAGCTTTTCTTTTCTTTTCTTTTAAAAAAAAATAATAATAATTTGTAGTACTGCATATTAGGAGGACTGCTACTCTTGAAAGGGTTTCGGTTTCTTTCAGTCAAACTAACAAACACCTCGCATGCCTCAGAAGGATGAGCAAAAGGCGTCGACCTGATTTCTTGCTTCTTATGGTTTATGGGTGCCAGCAGCTAGTTGTGCACTAAACTAGAGCATCTATACAAGCTAGAGACAAGTGCTAAGCCCCACTACACTAGTCATGGAACAACAAGTCAGATTGAAAGGACGCTCGGTGCCTGCTGCTAATGCCAAACAGAAAAAAGTAATACAAAGGTGACAAAATATTAAATGCAAAAAACAGGCCAGCAACATTATCCCCTGCACCTCACTCTTACATGGTTAGAGAACACCCTCTTTTTATTTCCACCTTAAAATCACATCAGATTAACATAAAGCATGAAACTCTATTAAACTCTAATAATTAACATAAACCCTCTTTTTGTTTCCCTATATTTTGACCTTACCGTGCCAGAAGAGTCACAAAGCAAAAACATGCCATCGGTAATAAAACTTCTCTTTAACTACTTGATTAATTAACTACTCCCGTACCATCACATTTGTAATTGTTCAAAATTAACTATTGTTCCACTTTTTTTTTATTAAAACAAAATTAATTTAACGAACATGTGACTGTATGTAACTAATTTCGCGAGAAAATCCATCCATCGTCTCACTGTAGATAAGATAATCAATACCAAGTGCTGAACTAAATTTGTTCCTATCAAAACTTCAAGGACTAAAATAGTACCGAATGTTAGAAACCAAACCCGAAATTACAATTCAGACGAACGAATAGCACTTCAAAGTAGTGGTGATGGTTCCTGCGATTCTTCATCTCTCCCTTTCAAGTACAGCTAATAAGGACTAACGCCAAATTTGCAAATATACTCACTTTCACCCAATCCTCCTGCAAAATTTGCCATTTTTCATAGGACGAAAATTTGAAATGCGAAATACCAAAAAACATTTTGAGCATCCGGTTTCCCAATGATCGCCAGAGAGTCATCTGCTCTTCTTCTTCCGACTTAGCTTCACCCCCCAAATGTCCTGAACGGAGAACTCCGCAACTCTGGCTGGCTTTAAGCATTTTGACTTGCGAGTTTCACCTGGTTTATCAGATCCAGCTTATGGCTCTGCGATAACCGTCAGTCCCATTGGGTAGCATCCTGTTAATGATTCCCTTGCCAGGTCACATCCTGGCCAACGTTGGGAAAGAGAGCATGGGATTAATATCCACAGCCCTCAGAGATACCCAGACGAATTGAGCAACTGTTCCAGCGGCATAGGCCCAGCCCGGCCCGGTCCAATACAGCAGGAGGCCAAGACATCACCACGCATCAAACTCAATACAAACTTATGGAGTCGCACCCTCCACTTTGCCTCTGTAACTGGAGCAAGCAAGCAAGGAAGTAGATGAAATAGCGAATCTGTATCTGCATCTGCTTCGCACCTTGAGTTCATAAAACCATGATAGCCAAGGGCTTAGATGAAATATCAAATCTGCATCTGCATCCACATCCCACCTTAAGCGCATGAAAACGTGACAGCCGAGGGCTTGCAAACAACACGGGATAATTTGAAGAATGTGCAGCTTGCAGGATTGAATTGACTAATGATCGTTGTCAGACCCCTCCACAATAAGCTGCAGCCAGGTTCACCGTGATGCTAGCCCAGAAACTTTGGCAGAATTCCACAAGACTCGCATTGAGCCAAGCTTTTTTTCAGCTTGATCATATGAAATACCCGTAAATTCAGATGGGTATGGAAGCTTGGCCCATCTCTCAATGCTAAGATCCATAATGTCCACAACGAAAGTCCCCGAATCCTTCAAGTTATATCCGTACCAATTCCCATTTACCTGATGCACTTTTCCGTTTCCTATCACTTTCGCATTTTGATCTAAGAGCAAAACATACTGCCCTGGCTCAAGGTTGACAGGCTCTGACTGTGCAATTTCAATTGGAGCTGCAAGTGAGATCCTTGAACTCTCATTACTGCAAGCTTTCACTATCGCATCTCCAATTCCACTCGTTTGATTCCCCTTTGCAGTTGAAACTACCTTAACATCTCCAGCAGGACAGCTAGGAGAGTCATGTGGAGGAAGGTTTACAGGAGCACTTTGCTTATCAGCATTGTCCCCATCAGACAGCACACGAACACGAGCCATCCTTGCTTTGCGATTATTCAGCCTGTCAAATGACATTTTACATGAAAAAAATTGTGGGTTAACACGTATTTAGTCTTCATAAAAATGGTACTTGACTACTAATATTTGATAACCAAATCCAAAACGTCTTAAATTAAAAGGTTCCAGTTAACTAACCCCACCTTTACAGCACTGAGCCCAGCTTAACTACAAATAGCAACGCATTCACTTTAAAGAGTATGCATTGCAATACAAAACATCGGAGACTCACTAACCTCATTTATGTACCACTTAAACTTACCAGAGTGTTCACAACTATTCTGTGCATCAAACAAACTAATCCTAATCTTCTATAGCTTTTCTCCTTTTTCCTTCCTCCACTGCCTAGGTTCTCGGTCTTGAGAACTTTGAAGCAGTGAATAATTAGGACATGCATGCAGAACACATATAGCAAAAGAAATGGTTTAGATTGGCATATTGAAAAACAATCTTGATGAATGTTCAAATGCCTGACTGAAGAAGTTCCAGATAAGACAAGCATCTCTGAAAAGGAATAAAACAATATGGTTCCTTTGAAGTCTGAGAGATGAAATGATAAACTTCCAGTAACCACAATCATAAAAGGCATAGAAGGAATTGCACATCATCTTTCAAGTTTGCAGTAACAGATCCCTCGTAATCGCAAATAATTGTGTCATATGCATCTTCAGAATAGCACCTGCCACCCACTACCCATAACTGCCTTCTGCCATATGAACAACTGTTTACCTCATCCTTTTGAATGCCACAAAAACTTCTTCTTTTTATCGTTCAACAGTATCATTTTCACCACTAAATTCTATGCCTTTTATCCACATCTGTAACATGGCCATGTTCATCCATAGACCAAATTTCAAGACACAGAAGTGACAGAACTCTAATCATAATGATCAGATCTCAAAAAAGAACATAAAGCAATTACCAATTTTTTAGCTGGGAAGGAGTCACCTCAGAACCCTGCTCAAAAGAAGGAGAGAGAGAAAACTGTTAAAACTATTTGAATTAAAAAGAGAGACAATATATCGAAAATAGCAGAGATTATTTTTTACCAGATCACTTAATTTATCAGCCCATAATTGCAGTGATGCAGCATTACGATGCATGTCAGGTTCGTCCACGAGTGCCTTTTCGATCAGAGCCACCTGCTTATCGTTCATTATGGTTCGCTTCCGCTTTCTTTGGTGCTTCTCTTCATTCTGTACAGTCTCCATCTTTTCCTCTCGTTGGATGTTCACAGACACATCTTTGGTGGATTCATTGTCAACAATTTGATTAGTAGGAGCTTTTCCTCCCATAGAACTTAAGTCTGGCTCAATCATTACAAAATTTTGAGTATCACTCTTTATTTGTCCTGCATCTCCATTACATTTAACTTTATCAATCCTCTTCCCCACATCTACTGATTTTTTATCCACGCCATTCTCCCTGAAATTGAATGAATCCGCTTCATTGAAAGCAGCAGTCTTCAACAAATTTCCCTTGAAATCGTCACTTCTGTTATTGGAATTAGAAGCTTCCACTAAAGGTAACAACTGTCCTTTGCTTTGATCATCCTGAAAGATTATCAAATTTTGTTCTGTTACATGAATTGTCTGCATTGAAAAGGACAGATACAACAAGACAAGGTAACCAATAAAACAAGGGTTAAAAACAAAAAAGCCCCTTATGGTATACCTAATATAAAGAAAAGCCCCCCGTAGTTTCAAAATATACAAAACGACACTTCATGTTTTGAACTAAATTGTAAACTAACAAAATTCGTCAAACTTAACGAAAATGACGGTTTTGGCCATTAAACTTATCGGATTCCGTTAAATTTACCGTTAAGTTTACCGGATTCCGTTAAGTTTTCCATAAAATTTACCGAATTTCGTTAAGTTTAACGAATTTTGTTAGTTTACAATTTAGTTCAAAACATGAGGTGTCGTTTTGTATATTTTAAAACCACGTGGGACTTTTCTGTATATTAGGTATACCACAGAGGGCTTTTTGGCTTTTAACCCATAAAACAAACATGAAGCATTGAAAAGGAGAGATACGAGAAAGAAAGAAACCAATGACACACCACGGTTATTTACTAGTCATCTCATCATATCCAACAAATCTGGTAACTACAGGAGAAAGTAATAAAATTCAGCTAAATGGGTCTCAAATGCTATTTCAAACAACAAGAGATTCTTAAATTTCTAAAGTCTCATGTGTATCACCTAACCAACCAATATCAACTAGCAACTATTAAAAGTGATCCACTAGTTGGGATTCGCATGACATTTATCCTAAATTCACAAGATGATGTTCACTAATATTGAGTTTTGAGAGTTTGTTTGGCAAAAATAAGCCCTTAGATATGCTTTACCTAAATTCCCTTAACACTGTTGTTTGATCACATTGACTTAAACACATGGCTATTTCAGCAGGACAATTAACAAGTAGTGAAAGCTATTTCCACGCTCAAAAAATGCAGTGGCAAATTTTTTGATAAAAAGAGAAGCATATCTATAGCTGATGGAGAAAAATTTAACCTGAACTCGATTCTCTTCAAATAGAGCTGGCTTAATGTGAGATTCCAACTGACTAATGAACACCCTGCAAACAAAGCTGAATCTTACGCAACTCACAGAAAATATACCTAGCCAACCAAAAAATGTACGAGAATTTAGAACATATTAATGCAGTAGTTCAAATGAAGTAAATTGATAGCAGAGCAGATTGTAGACGAAGAGAGTAAAAGGCATATGTTAGTCTCCAAACCAGGGCTTTTCATGATAGTGATGCTAGTTTATAGATGAAAGTAGAACGGAATACATATATGTAGTCTCCCACCTAAAAACCAAAGAGAGAGGTGTGCTAACAAATGGCTTAATTTAAAAAAGAAACTTCCCGAGGCAGGAAAAGAAATTCTGACACACACACAAAAAGCATCCTTTTGCTTTTTCTTTTGTACCATCAAGCAAGCACAACAAAAATTCCATTCGTGCAGACTCAAGCAATAAGCATCAAATTGCAAAATCGTAAATGAATGCAAAATCGTAAATGAGCATGCATTTCAAACCACCTCAGAAGCTGCACATCCTCTTCATTCAGAAAGCCTGGAATTAGAGATTCCGCGTGACTCAGTAGTGAACCTAAAGATGCAAGCCATAAGTACAGTAAAGAATCATAAAAAATTTTATTTATAACAACTCAAAGAAGATGACTACTTACTCAGGTTGCGATTAACAATGATTGCTTTTTCAGCATCAGAAAGAGCTGAAATCCTATGAGAAATTTTAGGGACCTCACTTTGCAAGCACTGAAGAAACTTGTTAAGAAAGAGATCTTTCTCCTCTGTCATAGTACAAAAATTTTACTAAAAAATAGGAGGGACAACCATGATAAACATAAAAACTAAAGAACAAGAACAGACTAAGGCACCTTGTGTTTACCTTTGCATATGTCAGGGACAAAACAATGGAGGTTTGCTATAACTTTAACCAATAAGGATGTCCTCTGATGTGCATACGATGCTCGAGGGACATTGCAGGGAATGAAAGTGGATTCCAAACAGCATGGATACAGGAGGTCTGATGATGAAAAAAATTCCAAAGCCCATCCAGCAGCTGCACAAGGATCATACTCCAGAGTGGCATCTTCCTCCCAAACTGGAAGTTCAGATGAACACCAACTGGATAAGAACTCTCCATGTGGAAGTGAAAAGATAGTTGTCAAAACCTCTGTCTGACAAAAGGATAGAACAATTGTCACAAACAATATTCCAAATTCTAATCTGAAGCACGTAATACTACATGCGTTAACACTGAGAAGAATTTCCCTAGCAACCAAAAAAAATCTGCTCACTGTTCTGCCATTCACAAGATTAGACAAGCACAGAATACAACATCACCACCAAAAGCTTGAAGCATAATTCTTAAGTAGAATAAAAGGACCTTGTAAAATTACAAATAGTAAAAAGTGATTTTTGGACATATAAACTCACAAAATATGTTGTGATGTAAGATCGAAAATTTGAATCATCAGAGAATATATCTGCAAGGCGCATTCCATTCAGTTGCAGTAGACCTTTTGGATATATCTTGGCTGAGCAAGCAATTGGTTGTTTAGAATCTCCACCAAACATTTTCTTCAGCAAGTCAAGAACCTACACCAGATCATTCTTTAAAACTTAAAATATCAATCACTTAAATATTCAAAGCAAGTTTAGGTAGTGGCAATAGCATCTTCACAACCAGACCAATCAGACAAAAGACCAAAAAACAGGCTTGAGTTTTATAAAGGAGGGACATGGGGTGAATTCTTGGCAGATGAACTTATCTGCATAACCATTTGCACAGATTTGCTTATCTTTGGTTTGACCAGTTCAGAAGCTCTTTTTGATAAAGGAAGACACAGCCATGTACAGGGTGAGCGCTAAGTTCATTTAGACTTGGCATATATAGACACCAAAAAACAAAAAAGCATGACTTGACAGTGCAAAACTTCTTTTTTGATAGACAGTCAAACAACTGAGACAAAGTTGATTGACATGTGCATCCTTTTTGAAATTACCAAACTAGTATGGGTTAATTAAAATTACGTCAACCAGTCCATTTGATGGCCCTAGCCCCTGTCCTACACCTTCAGTCCAACTCACTTCCGATCTCAGTCCATTAATAAGCAGCTTTTGCAGAAAAATGTTCTTCATGAACACTATCCCATAAATTGCCAATGCCAACTATAAGAAATGCATAGCATTTAATATCATAATTTAACAGGTGCACATAATTATCCCTTACACAGATGATCAGGGTCAGATCCATGCCTATGTGGGACCTACCAGTAATACAATAAACTTTTGGAAGTTTGACACCAAATCAACTCAAGTTCTGTAGCAATTAGAAATTTACAAAGGGAACAATCCGCATAGTTTTTAGATGCTATTAGCTATGCTCAAGCAACAATAGAGCATCAGATTGAGATCCGATGTTCCCAATAGAAGAACTTATTTTGCTTGCCCTCCCAATTAGAATATTTCTTTGATGCCTATTTTTACTACCCACTTCTTGATACAACAAAAAGAATAGTATACAGCGTAGATAACGGGAGACCAGTAAAACTGTGGTTACCCAACTAATGAAATGCCAAAGGAAGATTTCTTAATATTGAGTAAATACACAACATTCTTAAATGATCAATAAATGCCAAAAGGAAAAGTGTTATAGAATACCAAGCCAAACGAGAAAGAAAAAATATAAAAGATCCTACAAGAAAAGATAACAAACTTGCCATCAACTGCTTATGAACCGGCAATACTTATGATGCTTATTGTCTTAGAGAAAACATACTCTCTTCAGATATAGTTTGAATAAGTTATCTTATGTAATAAGGAGGCACATTACACGCAAAGATTAAATCTTGTGAAACCAACCTCAAGAGCAATAGACTTGGCTAAATTCAGAGTTCCGGGGTTGCTGGCAACTTCATCCAGATAAGATACACTTTCAGCTTCACAAAGATGCAATAGCTACAGAAAGAGGATTTTTTGCCAATTTACAAAATAAATTTCAAGAATTAATTTAACAATATAAGCTGCAAATAGTCTCCTGGTATACAATCACAAAAGAACATATCCATCACTTCGCCTTACAATAGACAAGACTTTAGACTTCATTCTTGAAACAGCAGCCACAACTGCAGAGGATTCTACAAAAAACGGAGATACATTTACATCAAGAACAGTTTGCGCCAGCAAAAGAACGCCACCTTTACCGCATAACTCCTGACACACGAACACACGACCAAAAAGGTTTAAACTCAATAGTAAGAATAACTGCAAAAGAAATAACGCAGGCTGAGGTGAAATGAGATAGAAAATACTTGATCCTCCAATAAACCATGTAACTTATAAAGTAAAACCAATTAAGGTAGACAAACAGTAGCATTGAATTGACCAGACGTGGAGAATTAGCAAAATTAATAATCTCCAATTTTCAGATAAGCTGCAAAGTTTTCAAAAAAAAAATCTTTCTCAAGTAAAGGAACAAGGTAAATTTTATTTCAATGAAATATAGATCAATAGCTTTCTCCAGCTTATGCACCACAGCTGTGTGCCCAGAAATTTTGAACTGCCATAGTGTTTGGCACAAGATGCCACCTGTTTCAATCCTTTGATGATACATTACACATTATCTTGACCTCTTAACTAATGAATGTGAAGAAAAAAGGAGGGGAGGTGGCTGCCCGGGGGGGGGGAGCGCAATTCTGTGCATCTCATTGTAGGTGGATAAGGGAGCAGATGTCTTTACTAAATACCTTGTTCCTAACAAGGCGCTCCCGAAATAACTTCTGTTGACAGCATGACATAAGAAACTGTATAGAAGCCTCACACTGCTGGCACAGATGATTCAATGTTTCTTCAGCATTTGGACTAGTATGGAAATTAGCATTTTCAGCTGACAACCTGGTATGCAGAAACTGAATATCAAGTTGCACAGCAGCAAAAGCTACATCCATAAATATATCAACCTGCCAGAACGGGCTTCATGATCAGCCAAGTCTCACTGACTACTAATTGCATATAATGATCTCTGGTATATGAAGAAGTCAAGTTCATGTGGATAGCACCTTGTTCTGAAATTAGTTCAAAAGGTTACACAAAATATTCTTGTGCCTTAAAGTTATAAAACCTATATTACCTTGGTATGCTGTAGCAAAAGTTGAGTAAGTTCTTGCCATTGCGAAGAGACACACGCTGTTAATAAATAGAGACTGGAGGAAACCAGTGTTGAATGCAAGTGAACCAGCTGATCAGAAATGTTGTGTTCCTAGAAAGACAATGTAACTTAGTAAAAATAAATATGAAAAAAAAAGGGTAAGTTACTGAAGGAAAAGATTGCAAGCAACCTGTCTGCAAGTAGCAAGAATAGCAAGCACAAAAAAGATAAGGTCAAGTATCTGCTCAGATACTTTTGTATCATCCACGAATATCTGCAAAAAAAGAAAGGTCAAGCATCTGCCCGGATGAAGAAAGAAATCAACAAAGAGAAATAACTATTCACTCCAAAAACTTGTTGACTTGATGTTACTTTTGAAGAAAAAAGCCTATGCAAGAGGTGTGATTGTTCCAAATAATTAAAAGGAAAAAAGGAAAGGCGAGTACAAAGAACCATTCACAATCAGAATTTTGCATTTCTGGAAAGTGTGGTCCAGAAATATGAAACCAGCAAATGACTGTAGGGAAAAAAGTATTCCAAATTCCACTAACCATGACTTGCTTAGGAGAGAGTAAATGGGCTTCAAATGACATTTTGACCCCAGTTAAACAGAGCTAAGACCAACCTTTGGTTTGACTCCTCAAGCCACTCCACCGAACCAAAAGGCGTGAAAAAACAACACTTGAAAAAGGAGGAGCAAAACAAATTCAGCAAAATGGCGCAATCAGGAAAAAATCATAGACAAATAAGCTCCCTAACGTATTAAAAAGGGAGGTCTTCTCTGACTGATTTGGGTTCTGCCATAAATATAATGAATTCTTGAAAAAAAAATAAAAAGTACAAATCCAATATAACCTAGAACGATGACAAATCCGATCTGAAGTAAAGTATGAGGAATAAAGCTGTGGAAAGGGGGAGGGCAGGGACAATAGAGCAGAGTGGTAAGAGAAGAACTTCCCTCATTAAAACCATAATTTTACAATAAATAAAGGAAGATTGTTCTCTGAACTCATAAATTGCATGCTTTTCCTTCATCTCTTTCTTTTCTGCCTTAATGATTGAGCTTAGAGATAACCCCAAAAATGAGGAGAAAAGTCCAGAGAGGCAATAATCTGACACTACAAAAATCTCGTAATTACTGCTTAAATGTTCAATGTTAAAAGATACAACAGCCACTCAACCTGTTCAATCTTAGGGGGCCGAGGTGCCAAATCACACAATGAGTGCAGCAGTCTAAACCCAGATAACAAATATTCAAATAGTGCTTCATCCGGTCTCCAATTTACAAGTGCTGCAATAAGGTGTAAAGGAAGATGCCTTGCAAGCCTATCTACATCAATCTGCAACAATAGGATTTTGCCATTCTAAGGAGACAAATTGGGGAAAAATTAATACTATTAATAGTCAAACAATGGCAAACATATTCATAAACAGAAATTTTGATCCCCTTTAATTAAAACTCCCAATAGCCACCTGGACTTGACATCCATTTTCAGCTGTGCAATGAATAACGCTGTTTTCTGCCTCCCTTATTAGCCTGCCAAGCTCCTGTGAAGTTAGCTTATGCAACCCTTTAACCGCAGAAATGAAGTCAAGAACCTGTCAAGCAGAAGGAGAACATGTAACAAGAAATCTTTTGGAGAACAAGGTCCGGGATAAGAGGAATTATCTGCAGAAGAATCAGGACCAAAGGTAATGAAATACTACTCTAGGCAAAAACTGCCCGAGTCATGCTGTGTTTCATCACAGTTGGAGACAGTAAAGCAGCAAGGAAGTGACACTGCATATAAACATCCATCAAAAATAACAATGTTGCAGGATGATAGAGCAATATGCTGTCTTAAAAAAACCTAAAAGGTCTATAATTTGATGTCAATGGAGCCAAGACAATAGCAAAATTTACTTTCAATACCTTTATAACTATTTTTGCTGAATGACATAATAGTGATTATAACAGTTTTGAGGAAGAATTCCAGCAAAAGAGCAGTTTCCTGTTTTGACTTTCAAATTATTACCCCATCTTTTCCAAATAAACTACTTCTCATTATCTGTTAAACTTTTACCTCTAGGAGTAATAAAAAGTATGCTCCATAATGAGAATATGACAGATGGGGCCAAACTCCATAAAGGGCATGTTGTGTAGCTGTTTATTAACAGTAGGTGGTAAGTGGGACTTAAACCTCTTAGATATTGTTTTGACCATTTGGACAAAGGCAAATAGAAAAGTATCAAGACCAGTATTACTTCAACTTTACCTCACTTTCAACCTAAAATAGTTTCCAATAATAAATATATATTTTGACAGAGCTGCACAAGGTATTACTATATAAATGGGCTTTAACCACAACCTTGCTGCATCAGTACTACAAGGTCTATTAGACATTCAAAAGAAAGCAAGAATGAACTTAGGATCTTACAGCACCTAACTAACATGGATAGCAAGCACTTAACACACCATTTTCAACAACAGAACCCATGTTTTAAAAATTAGTGATGTCATAAATGAGGAAATAATTCACAAAAAAGAATTACATCAATCAAATATTGACAGCAAAACCTAAAATTAAAGGTCAGAGGAAAACTGATCCTTAATGCAATCTGCAAGCACACCTACACTGAAAATATGATTCATAAAGTTCACACATCCCTCTCTTTAAGTACTGCCTAACAGTATCACAAACAGCACACACTGAAACTGCAGTTTCCCGTTACACTCCTATCAAAGCAACTTAGAGACACTTAAGTTTCCTAGTTGCACTAGGTTTTCTGGAGAAGCTGGGCCAGCATAAACATTATTATTTGAAGGATATCGCATATTAACTGTTGAAAAACAAGTGCACGCTGATTGACTGACATGCAAATACCCAAACTAAATCCAGACAAAAAAAAAAAAAAAGCTCTCCTCGAATCTCACTTAAGATGAGAACAGCGGCAATTGAAAATACAGTTTTAGGGCAAGCTGAAAGGGTATTACAGTTACAAATGTCCATTTAATTAGGGATACCAGTCCCATTGGCTGTTAATATTACTATGCACTCACATTCAAAACCTAACTTCATACCCTGTATAACATTAGTCACTTCTCAGGTTAGAGAAACTATACCTCAAACAATACCAATATATACGACCACACAGCAGCACAAAATTTGCATTACTATTGTACAATAATTGTATGGTCACGTACTGAGTCATTTCTCCTCAAAGAGCTGCTCAGAGTCAAAGGTTCTGTGCTGCAAAACACTTGCTCCTTTGAATTTCTCATTCTCTGAATCCCGCTAAAATGCCCAACCAAGAATAGACAAAGAATTTAAGGATCAGAGTAAACTGGAAAACGTAGTATCTGCGCACACATGCACATGTCTCTATGCGTTCATAAATTTTCAGTTCCATGCATTGCAGATTTAATTCCAGAGCAAAAGCCTAAAAAATAAAAAATAAAAAACCAGCGCAAAAAATAAACGTGAATTCTAAGCCAAAATAATTCAGAAAAGCTCCTTTTGGAAAGGAATCAATAAACCAAGGTTTTATATTGGCAAACAGATTGATGGCAGCCGCGCTTTTAGGGAGAAAAATTAAGAAACGCATTAGTTTGGCAAGAAGAAGTAATCATAACCCGGGAAGTGGGAGGGGGACTTCACTTTCGGAAATCACAACGAAAACCAAGAGGGGAAAAAGAAAAAAGAAAAACAGAACAAAAAACACAGTAAACCTTATGCTAGAAGAAAAGACAATAAGAACATAGTAAAATAAAAGCCCAAACTCGTATGTGTGTGTGAGTGTGTGTATTCTTAATTAAGGGAGTTTTCACACCCAATAATTGTCCATGTCTAATCTTCAAATGAGATTTGCCCTTTCTCTGATTTCTTGTACAAACAAACTTAGAAGGGGAAAGGAAAAAGAAAAAGGGAGTAAGAAGCCGCGAGTACCTCAGGACCAAGATAAACAGCGCTGGAGAAGTGAAAGAGAGAGCGAAGGGGATGAAAATTTTAGAGGGAATGCAGAAAGAGCGAGAGAGGGAGGAAGCAAAGGAGGCATCCAAGTCCCAACAACTTTTACCCACAGCCACCACTATTCTATTCTATTCTATTCTATTATACTCCCACTGCCAACTGCTGCGTACAAGCACTCTTTATCCGCTTTATCGCTTTGTTTAAAATTATATGTTCTCTCTTTTTATTTTGTAATTTATCCACATATTATTATTTATTTATTTATAAGGTGTAACGCACAGTGCTACTGTGCGCCCCAAACAGCTCCTGCCATTCCTCGAGAAGGTCAAGTCGGAGACTCACAGGCCGTCAAAAGTGCAAGGCTGAATATATATGCTTTTTTTTTTTTTACCCTCCCCTGGGCCTGCCCTCCTCACACCACACCTTTTTCACCCTGACTGTCAAAATTAGGGATACGAATACAAAGTTGTATACTTGATTACCTGTATGTATATATAAGCTAATTACCTGTATATATATATATACATGTATGTATATATAAGGTACAATCTACATATTTTGATATGTGATAGGTTCTAATATATGTATTTCTTTATTCAAAATACAATAAAAAAATGTATTTACTTACATAAATCAAACTAAAACTAAAAAAAGGGGTAGCAACGACGCCGGTTTTGACTCCTGAAAGGGTCAAGTAGAATAATCTTAATTACTCCAAAAAAAAATTTTTAAAAAAATATAGTACTCACCCGGTAGGTAGGCTCTTAAACTATTTTTTATTGTAATGTTTTGACCCTTCATTTTTCATAACAAATAAGCCCTTGGACTCTAAAAATGAATTGAAAAAAAAAGGGTCTAAATTTTAGGTACTTCCATCCATTGTAGCTGTTAAGGTAGAAGGGATGAGTTTTAAATTTATCATATTTTTAATAATAAGGATTTCGAAAAGGGTCAATTTTTAAACTTCAAATTAGAAGCTAAATACCCCAAAAAAAATGATAACAACATGGGGGTTTGAAGTGTGAAGAAGCGCTGAGCTTCCCCGGATCGAGCTGAACTGATGAGTTCGGGGTGCTGATGGAAGAGCTGGCTCCAAGCCTACAAAACAGATAAGAATGAGCTAACAACGGGGGGCCCGAAGTTGGTCCCCGAGGGCGCTCCGACGACCAAGTTAGTTTTCCGGTGATAGGAGTTCACGGGAAGTATAAACAGCCGGGAGCAATTTGCCAATAGTGAGCGTACCTTGTACAGTAGAGGTGTGCCATTATTTATACCTGTGCGGAAGTCCGACCTCCGTACGTTTCGGGACCTGCCCAAAATAGCCCCTATCCCGCACTTAGGGGGATTGTCTCCGATCTCCTCGGGATGGATCCTCGCCCCCTCCAGGAGCCCTAGCAGCGTAGCCCTGGACGGCTGCCAAGGGCCTGGGACCAAGGCCTAGTTCGGCCGCACCTGGGCTGCCACGTGTCCAGACCCAGGACGGGGCCTCTGCACTAGCCCCCTAGATTAGGTAAGGCTGTCAGGCAGATCTAATTTACCTTCTCCACGTGGGAGGCCAAGGCCGCGCACTACCCTGCCAAGGTCACCTCTGGTACAGTACTGTCACAGGGACGCTGCGCCCGCGTCCTTTCGGTTGTCACGCCTCTTCGATTTCCGTACCAGCATTAAATGCGTTCACATGGGGATCGGTTCAAATTCACGCAACCGTTTTCTCCCCATTTCCCTTCCTTATAAATAGGGGTCATCAGATTTCAACCGACTCCATTTTCCATTTTTTCTTCCTCCCCTCGTGCATTTTGGCGTTCCCCTTGTCCTTGTGTATTTGCATTTCCATTCTCCAGCAACTTCCGGTGTCCCGTGCCTAGATTCCGGCGAGTCTTCCATCCTCCTTCTGCCTTGACCGTCATCAGTAAGTCCCTGTTGCGATTCCTTTTCCTTTTCCTTCAGTGTTCCCTCCTCCTTCTGCTACCCCCTGACTTTTATGTCGGGTCACTCCGACGTTACTTCCACCGCATCCCCGTCTCCGGCCCGTCGCAGAGCCACCAGGATCTTCATTTCTTCCTCATCTTCGTCCTCGCCCTCGCCGTCGCCTTCCCCTCCTCCTCCTTCCTCTTCCTCTGCCTCTAATCCTGACCTGCTTGACCCCATAGTCATTATGAGTTCACCCTCCAACCATTCTCCCTCTGCTCATTCCCCTTCAGCCCGGGAGCTAGAGGAGGCAGTCGAGCTCGTTGCCTACCTCAAGCTGCAGTCCGGCTCCACTTCTTCCCCCAAGTCTCCCCATGACTCCCCTGGCGGAGCCCAGGAAGGAGCTGGGGAGGACAGGGACTCCTCCGAGGGGAGCCCTGACAATCCGCAGGGGGACGCTCCTGAATTCAGCTTCGGCTACCCTGACCACGAGGAGGTCACCATTTCCCTCGAGGCGGTGGCCGGACTGGTCAGGGCCTACTCCATTCTTTCGACCTTTGAGCCAAGGGCTGCCGGGCCCGACGACCGAGCCTGCCGACCTCCCCATGGCTTCGTAGCCATCTACAAGGAGCAACTGATCGGGGGGCTCCGCCTTCCGGTTCCTCCAGCCCTGGCCGAGGTTCTGAGCTACTTTGGGCTCAGGATCACCCAGGCTCATCTCAATTCGATCAGGATCGTCATAGAATTCCTGATCTACTGCCAGCTCTGCTCCATTCCCTACTCCCTCTCCCTCTTCCGAGCTGCTTTCGTCCTCAAGACAGCCCTTCCCGGTTGGTATTACTTTTGCTGCCGGACCGGGAACCAAGGTCGGGGGGACAAGGGCTGCCAAGACTTGTTCTCTAAGTTCCCCTCTTCCGTCAAGAATTGGAAAGGGGACTTCTTCTTTATCAAATCCATCGGCCTTGACGCCACCGTGTGGAGGGTCGGGGAGGTCAAGACTGACCCCTACCCGAAGGACCTGGACTCTGAAACTCTCTTCCAGCTGTTGAACTCTAAGGTGAAGCTCACTGCCACCAAGTTCTCCAGCGAGCAGATCTCTGCGGCCGGACTGATGGGGACATTGTCCGGGTCCGCTGGCGAGGTGGAGGCCTCCCCTGTCGACCTCGACGCCTGTAACGCTGGCCCTAACCCTGTAGCCCGTTGCATTTGCATATATGTATACCTTCTTTCCGCCCTGCTTTGACTGATCCCGTAATTTTTCTTGCAGTGAGAAAGCTGTCCAAGCTGCTAGGCGCGTCCACTGAAGTGGCCACCGCCACTCCCCAGGCGGAAGCTGCCCAAGAGGTCCTTGGGGCGACCAAGCCCCCCAGAAGGAAACGCAGGGAACCCCCTCCCCCACCAAGAAGGCTGCCAACAACAAGAAAAAGGCGGCCGTGCAGAAGAGGGGTCGAGGGGACGAACCCTCCCAGCCCGCGAAGAAACTCGCGCTGGTCCCCGTACAGCCTCCTCCTCTCACGCTGGTCTCCGGGGGGCCAGTCCACCTGGGCGTGGGCTCTGCCGAGGAGCATGCCCAGGAGTCAACTCCCCCGAGCTTGTGGCACTTCCGCCACGTAACTCCCCTGAAACCGGGCCAAGCCCCCACGATGCACGACCCCCGCCACTTCTGCCCGTCTTGGGCGCTCTCCATCAACGACCGAGCCCAGTTTCCCGAGGTGGCTCGCGAGCTGATGGTGGGCTCGGTCCTTCCTCGCGACAGGAGGTGGATGGAGCTGGCCGACCCTTCCGAGCTCTTGGACGCGTATTACACCGCCCAAACTCAAGTAAGTCTAGCCCGTGGGTTAGTTTTGCCTCCGTGTCTCCGTTAAGTAGTGTGACGTGCTGACATGTTCTCTTTCCCCTCCAGGCCAACGCCGCTGGTGCCGCCCTGGCGACTCGCTTCTCCGAGCTGTCTCCCGACCTGGAGAAATTGCGGAAGAAGAGTCTGGAGGCAGAGAAGAAGCTTTCCCAGTCCCTTAAGGGGGCTAGCTCCCTCAAGGCTAAACTGGGCAAGGCCGAGAAGGAGTTGGAAGCCGCTTAGGTCCAACTCGCCTCCACCAGGTCGGAGCTCGACCAAGAGAGGGCCGGCGTAGCCAAGCTGAAGGAGGAGCATGCCATCGAGCTCTCTGGCACCGTCAGCCGGGAGCGGAAGAAGGCTGTTCGGGAGTTCCTTACTTCCGAGCAGTTTGAGGAGGACATCGCTCACCTCAACCTGCCCATCCTCCAGATCGGCTGCACACGGGCCCTGGACCAGGTGAAGAAACTCGACCCTCCCGGCCTCGACTTGGCGAGTTTCAAAAACTACAATCTCGCAGCCGAGGAGAGGCTGGACTGGCTCTTTGACGGGTACCGCAAGGGGCATGCCCTGAAGGAATTGGTAGGCCGAACCGACGTTGGGGCTGAGCTGGCGGAGGTCCCCTTGGAGGAGAGCGAGTCCCCAGGCAGAGCTGCCGGGAAGGAGCCGGTGGTCTAAGGCGGCGGCTACCCCAGAAACCCTTTCCGTCTTCTTACAAGGATGTGACCATGCTCCAGTTGAAAATGCTCTTGGAGGTCCATCTGAGACGGAAAAGGTTCCCCCGCCTGGAAAGCCTGCACCATACGCCTCTCAGCATGTTTAAGGTGTATCTTCAGCTCCTACTCCAGACGAACTACCAGCAAGAAGAAGGGGGTCCGAGTTGTATTCTCCTCATGGCTCAGCACATTTTGTAGCAGATAGGCAACTCGGAAGCTTTGTAATAGATAGGCGGCTCAGAGATTTTGTAAGTTTTGTAATAGATAGGTTTTGAATGCATATATAAAACTCGAGGAGACTTATTTCGCATTTCTTGCCTGCTCCCAACTCTGTCGTGCCGACCTCTCGGGGTCGAGCATCACCTGTCATCCAAGCTCTCGATCGCGCCGACCTCCTGGGCCGAGCACTAACTTGGAAGCCTTGGAGGCTTTGCCCCATGCCGACCTCTCGGGGTCGAGCATCAGCTTCCATCCAAGTTCTCGATCGTGCCGACCTCCTGGGTCGAGTACTAACTTGGAAGCCTTGGAGGTTTTAACCCATGCCGACCTCTAGTTTCTCAGTTTTTTTCAGCCGTGCCGACTTCCTGGGCCGAACACTTCACCTTGATGTGCCGACCTCCTGGGCCGAACACGTTTTCAGAACCCCTCCAAGTTTTTCAGTTTTTTCCAGCCGTGCCGACCTCTTGGGCGGAACACTT